ACTCTAATCATCGTCTCGATGATTTACTATTTATCAGAGAGAAGTCTTCTCTCTGGTATTACTATTGTAATAGTAATAACTGGTCGACAAGGAAACTAGTAGAAGTGGTGGAATGATTCCGAGAAGATTGAATTACTCGTGCAAATTATTATTCAACGATCAAAGTAATCCCTTATCTATAAAAAGACTTTCACGTATAAAAAATTTAGGGAAATGAAGGGTGTTAATTATCGGAGGGATTGTAATAAACTATTTTTATTGTTAATATTTGGTTTTATTACACATTCGTTTTGTGATAATCTCTCTAGCAGCACAAATGCCGGGGTTAAATCACCGGCTGTCAGTAAACAAAAGCTTAATGCAACAAATTTAAATAATAATCATGATAATATCAATTATGTTAATAATAAGGCTAATGCTACAAAGAATAATCAAAAACCTTCAGTGAATTTTTCTGAATCTCAAAAGTCAGTTGGTGATAAAAATGGAAATAGCACAAGTGTTGTGAATAAACAGAGTGATCATATAAATAATCAAACAGCATCTGATGGTTCTGAGGTGACTAAATTTGCATTTATAATTATTGACATTTATTTGCTATCAGAGTTTTAGTAAAAATACAATATTCTATTTCAGAGCCTTAAAGGCCACATGCTATCACTAAATTCAGGAGCTATCAAACGTGCATTTTATGTTTTTGTTGGACTGAGTGTACTAAGCGTGGCCTATTTGTTGTTCCGCAGCACTAGGTATTTAAAGATGATTTAAAAAATACTATTGATTTAGGTTTAATTTGTATAATTGAAATTATTTTTAGGTTACGCCAAAGCCCAGCACAAATGGTTAGAAAATATGGTGTTTTAGCACACAAACAAGATATTGAAATGAGACCACTACCTCTCGATGAAGATGATGAAGATGACACTGTTGTATTTGATGCGAGTGGATTTACAAAAAACTTACAAACGAGTTCAAAAAATTTTTAAGACAGATTGGTAGTGTTATATCTCATTAATGCCTTAATTTCTATACGTGTAATATAAAATTTATAAATATCTGTGCGATATATTAACTAAGTATTCTATTTTTAAAAAATACTTAAGTCACTGTAAGTCTGTATAAATATAAGATGTTTATATTTATTCATAACTGAAAGTAAAAACATAAAATATTTATTGAAGTATTTTTGGAGTATTATACTTTTTCAAATATTGAAAAGAATTATGGATAATAATTTCAATGTCATCTAGTTTTCAATGGCAATGTGCTAGTTTTTAACCACTTAATTAAATGACTGACCACATGTTATCGCTAGTTAATGATAAAAGCAATGACATTTAGTCATTATTTTGTGCTAATAGATTTTCTAATAATTTTTTTATTTGACATAATTTTATAAATGATTTCATAGTTTTATTTTTATGCACTATCATTATTTTCCACAAGAAAAATGGATGCAAAACTGATTATAATAATGAATTTTCCTAATTTGAATATGTAAATTTATAGTTTTAAAACATTAATCACGAACATTTAAAGAATAATTGTTACTTGAACTCAATTATACTGCTTTTTGTGTCAAATGAATTATTTCATGGTTATTAGACTTAGCCTTGAATTATGACAGCTTCAGTGTTGAAAATCATACAATAATCTGTTAAATAAATTTAATCGAGATCATTTCGTTTTCTACAATGAACAAAACGAATAATTTGTTATGAATAATAATACATTTAGAAGAGAATAATTTTTTAATATTGCATAAATGTTTTTGTTATATAACTATCGCGTACATGAACAAGTATTTTGTTATGATAATTATTATAAAACAATATTTACTCGTTATATCACATTATAATATAAAAATCATTAATTATTCAGAAAATACTGTAACATTAAGATGTTTATACATACTACAAAAAACCACATTTCATAGCATGTATAATAACATCTGCCAGACGTCTTCTTTTTTCTTGACTCTTTAAAGGTTTTACAGGCCATGCTTCTGAAATATCTATCGCATCATTTCCTTTTATAGTATCCAAATCGTATACTTCATCATCGCCTAATGTAGCCATAATAATAGATTCAAATGAAAAATTGAGTCCATGCACGAATTCTTCTTTGACTTCTTTCATAAATGTTTCTAATGAATATATTTTGACAGGATCTGATCCTAATACTGATATCGTACTAGATAATTCGTCATGATAATAATTCAGTAAATAAGAAAAACTTTGGTCTCGCAATGTTCTATCAGTACAAGAGTAAATGAAAAATGATACATCTGTCACTGGGCCAGTCCATCTAGCGAGTTGAAAATCTAGAAGTAAAGCTTCTTTTTCACCAGTAGTTTCATCAGTTCGTATTAGAAAATTAGGTGCCCATGCATCTCCTTGATTTATCACCGATGTTGGAGTTTGACTACGACTACAAATCTTCACACTCCTTTCCCATAAATCACGATTGCTAATGGCTGAAAATCGTTTTTCTTCAGGTGTACCACCATATTCTTTTGCCATTGCATCTTTAGTTGCTATCATAATCAAATTCTAAACAACCAAAGTGTTTCATCATAAAATGAATAATGGCAGGTGTTATAAAGGATCTGTTGTTTATTAAAAAATGTAAATACTTACGTAAAATTTTTTGTACCAGTTCCAATGATCTTCGCTAAAATATGTTTCTTTTAACTGACCAGCAGCATCGTCAAATTTTTCTTTATTTTGAAATTTATATGCAAAAGATACTCCATGGAAATGTGCCATAGCTTTGAGAATTACTTTACAATCATCTAGGCTTAAAGAGTTCTGTCTCGAAGGGCATTGAAAGCCATGAACACCTGCATCCTCTAAAATTATGAAATCATTTTCGCCATCCAACATATAACCCAAGCATTTTGGAATATAAAGTAAATGATTAAGATTTTTTGCCGTCAAGAATTCCAAAAATAATGGCATTATCTGAAATTACAAATTATCCTATAAATCACTATGATAATATAATCATTATCGAAAGAGTTGATTAAATAAAAAGTATTTGAAAGAAAATAAAATAGAGTGGCAAAGTATACCTTTGTATAAAACATGATTTCATTATAAAAGAAATCACTACTTCTGTATGTTTTGCGTCTCCCTAAATTTTCTGGTAGAGACTTTACAACAATTTTTAAATCTTTTTCATTTCCTTTTATTATTCCTTTAATACAAATTTTTCTGACAGTTGATAAATAGCTATCGCCTTTCGCTGAAGTTCCTTCGAAACTCCAATCAATAACTTTTGCATCTTGACATTCGTATGCTTCAACTAATGAATTTCTTAAAACTTCTTCCGTAAACAATTTGCTGACACTTGTTAAAATATTCAAATCTTTGCCCATTTTTTTTAAATTGAAAATTTGTTTTAACTCTGTAATAAAATTAGATCAAAAATTAACTTAAATACTTGTTATAACTTTTTGCAAAGAAACTATTTATATTATTTTCAAAAAATTCAAAAGTATTACTGCATTCAGAGATGTGTTATCACTAGCACTGCACAGCTTCTGACGCTTTTATATGTATAGTACATATCAAAGTTACAATAGTTTAGTCCGTCATGTTTACGTGGACTTTTGTGATTTGACACAATAATGCGATTTTAATCAAATAATTGCTTGCAGTTATCAGAATTACAATGCTAAAAATTCTTCTTCAAGTGAAGTTCTTATCAATTTGATAAGACTAGAACTTTGATAATAATACATTTACTAGTTTTCTGCATAAATATGATAAGAAATAGTGATACAATTTGAGAATACAGCATTAACGATAATTCTCTTCACATGAAATTTTTTTATCAACTACTTATTTACTAGGAGTGCGAAAAAATTTTTTAAATCAATTATTTATTTTGAAACTGTCAATAGATCTATAATAATACTCTCAATTTCAGGTAGTTTTATGAAATATTTTCTATATAAATCCTCGTTGAAAGGCATCAACAACCATATCGGCAAGTCGTTGTCGTTTTTCTTTGGATTTTAATGGTACAACTTTCCATACTTCAGCAATATTTACTCCATCTGTTCCCTCTATAACTTCGATATCACATACTTCAGATTCGTCTAGCATCATCACTGGTAGACCTTCTAATGAGAAAGAATATCCAATAACAAATTTCTCTTTTACCTAGGATTATATTAAATGAAATGATCTTATTAATTTTTTATGTAATTAATTAATTACAAAAGTAATAATTTTTTTACGTATATACCTCTTTCATGAACACATCCCATGGAAATACTCTGTTAGGATCTGTACCTAAAAGAGCTATTGAGCTGGAAAGTTGTTCGTAATAATACTTCAGCAAATTGTCTAAGTGTTTATCGCGTATTTCTTTGTCCGTACTAGTATATATAAAATTTGATACATCTGTAATAATAGTATTACACCTTGCTAATTGAAAATCTAACATTAAAGCTTCTCGTTTTTCTTCAGTTATGCAAACCATAAAGTTTGATGGCCATGAATCTCCTTGGGTTACTATTGATATGGATTTATCTGCTATGGCTTTGGTTGCTCTCTCCCATAGATCTCGGGATGATAGCGATAAGAATTTTTGTGCTTCTGGAGTATTTTTATATTCTTTCGAAACGGCATCTTTAGCTACAGCTATACAATTAGTCTAAAAAATCGTACATAAATTAACAAATGTTCAAGATTATGGATTCTTTTTTTTTTTAATTGATCCCTATAAGGATTTAGAAAGATAACTTACAAACCAAGTTTCATACCAGCTCCAATTTCTTTCATCATAATAAGTTTCACTGAGATTCTTCACAACCTCATCAAATTCTGATGGGTATTGATCCTTGTAAGCGAATGAAACAGCATGAAAACGTGCCAGGCATCTTAATATTATTTGAATATCTTCAGGTGTCCATATGTCATGTCGAGGGATATGTCCATAACCTAGTTCTCTAGCATCCTCAAGAATCACGTAATCATGTTTTCCATCACAATAACACCCAAAACATCTTGGAACTGGTAAATTATAGTTTACATTTTTAGACCTCAAAAACTCGTCTATTTTTGGAATTACCTAATGAGTAAGACATTAATTTTTAATTATTTGTTCATTTAATTCATCAATAACAATCTTCTAATATTGAGGTAGCAAGAAAAAAATCAAATATACTTGTATATTAGTAAAAAACTTATTAGCATAACCTAGAAGTAGGTTATATTGATCAATTTATGTCAGAAACATACCTTAACATAGAAATTAACTTCATTACTGAAAAATTCAGCACTCCTAAATGTTTTTCTTGTTGCCTCATTATGAGGCAAACCTTTAATCACAACTTTAGTATGAATATTCTCACCATCAACTATTCCATCAATTGTCACTCTATACACAATTGATAAGTAGTTGTCACCTTTATTCGATCCAGGTTCAAACTCCCATCCTGTCACTTCAACTGATTCTTTTCCCGTTTTTTTAACTAAAATATCTCGTAGTGTTTTTTCAGTTAATTTATTACTTATTTCCTCTAATAGCGAAATGTCTTTTCCCATAGTTGTAATAATAAAAAGTTAAAAAAATAAGTGATAGATGATAAAAAATCAAATAACAAGCTTCCACGTCAGTAAAGCCTGATGGTTGAGCTATGTAGCAGTTGAATAGTAGCCTTCAAAGTAATACAAGCGCAGTTCCGTTGCGCAGAACAATTTTATGATTATAAATTAACTTAAAGTAACGATCATGATTATTTAATGCTGGATATTATGATGTTATTTAGCAAGAAGATATAATTTATCATTTTTGGGTTTCAAGATATTTATAATCATGATAAAAATAATCATTGAAACATCATTTTCATCTTCTTGTTAGGCAACGAAAATGAAAGTTCAGAATATAGTATAGATAATAATAAAAATGCATCACAAAACTTAATAGTTTTCTGTTCTCTATTTGCTCATTTCTTTATACAAAACATCTAATAAAGACATACGCATCATTAACGTGCTTGGATTTCTCTCAAATAAATTTTTGCTATTTTGGTTTTCTTTTTTTATTCTTATTTTATCAAACATTTTCAACACAAATGTAATTGGAAGGAATCATTAATGGACCGTAAGCGTTATCTAAAATTTTTTTTACATTTTTTTCTTTTAGACATCAATTATGCACTAATTTTGATATAACAGTTTTACAAAATCAATCTTTAACTTACGAAAATTTCCATTTCAACGTCTAAATTATGTACAGAATGCTATTAATTATTCTAAACTAACATATTTTTAAGTGACACACCAAATTAATAGCTTGTCTTTAAAATTAATTTATTCTAATGATTTATTATCGACTAACTAATTTATAATTATTTATTGCAAAGAAAAATATTTTTTTCCACTACATTCACAAAAGAAGATTCATTAATCATTAAAAATAAATTCTTATGCTTATAATGTTATACAGACCAATTTGCAGTATCAGGCTTATTTGAAAAATAAATAATTTACGGGTTTTTATTTTAGTCTTTAATGCTATCATGTGTTCCTCGTCAATTGCTAAAACATTTTGTCTATTCAACAGCAAGTAACAGCTTAGACTTCAGCGTTTAACAACAATAACAACAATCGAAATTTAACTCTTTTTTATCTGAATCATTTTTTTTCTTCTCTCAGTTATCACGAAGCTACTAATTACTATAACTTTACAAAAATTTTCTGGACGTTATGTCTACGAATTCGCTTTGACTATCTAGCAACTATCGACTAATTTATAATTATTAATTATCAGTTATTCTGTAGGTTTTTTCTTTAATTTGTCTGTTCCTTTCTTTCAATTTCAATTCTGATCGATGTTTCAACAAGTTATGCAATGTAAAAAATGTCAGGGTGAGGAAAAAAGTGTGCAGGTTCTAGTGAATTGATTTATCTAAATGTTAGGATATATGAAAGCGTGAATAATTGTTTCGTTACATAACCATACTCGATGTCTCGAATTCATTGTGCGTCGTTTTCCGTCCAATCTCCATCGCGCTACCAGTCAATTGTTAAACCTTTGATACTTATGTTCTTCTCTACATAGCGACAGGAAATAAATTGATTGTACTTTGTGAGAGCATCATGTTGTTATGCTGTAACTAATGATTTAATCTGCGAGCTTCCATTGCAGCGATGTCATCGACGGATATGAGTTTTTCAATTGGTATACACGACAATTCTCCACCAACACAAGACTGTGGTTGCTGCCATCTTGCTTCTCTTTCAGCTTCTTTAGCTTTTACTTCTGCTTCACGAGCTCTACGTTCCTTTAACTTTAATGAAAATATCGCTACTGAACGGGCTCGTTTCATTAAACTCTGCTTTACTCTAGTTTTCTTTGCTTCTCGCTCATCTTTTGCTGCTATCTTCTCTTCCTCTTGGCTAGATATTGTACGGGTGGAATCGGAAAGACCACCACCACCACTGCTAACTGCACTAGCTTCATGGCCTGATGCACGTCGATCACGGGCGTCTGTCGATTCTTTTTGAAGATGATGATAAGAGTGTTGCTGAGTAGGTTGTGATGATGAATGCTGCTGTTTTTCCCGTTCACGTGCTCTTTCTTTCTCGGGGGAAAAACGGAATTTTTGGTTTCTGTGGGTCATCATCCATGGCGGGGCGGATCTGCTAGAACAATAAATATTGTCAGTGGATGGTTGAGATTTATTGGTATCGAGAAAAGAATTTCTTAATTTTTTCCAATGCTTTTTGCCCTTTTTCTCTTTTTTTCATTCTGCTTCGAATTATATTTGAATTACTTTGTTGATTTTCGAAGAAATTTCAGCAATAAAAAATGTTTTTAACAATTGAAAATACAATAGATTTTATTATTAAAATTAAAAATATTTGTTTTTTGAAATAGAAAAGTTAATTTGAAGTTTTCAAAAATTTTTGTAATCTTAAAACCTTATCCATGTCATAGATTTGCTCCAATTTCTATCGTTTATTTTCTTATAACCAAACAAATATTGCTCTATTGTCATAAACGCCAATGGATTTCTTCAATTATAAAAAAAAGTAGTTGAAAACTTTGATGTCGCTTCAATCATAAAGGAATTTATTCTTCTAGAATATTATTGTTATTTACTTTCCATTATTGATCAAAAACTGTTCTATAATATTAAATTCTCATCATTGTATCGACAATAAAAAAGCAAGAATGAAAAATTACCGAAGGAGGTCACTATCCGAAGAGGAAGCCAACTCTTTAGAAACAATACAATCAGTAGACCGATGTAGAGCAACGTCTTCTGCAACACTACTTTCAGGGATACCGCTGATTTCGGAATCACTAGATTTCCTTCCACCTGTTCCCTCGAGGCCAAGTCTTCGAACCCAATCTATACCACCATGGGGACCTATAGTCAAGTGATGACTGTAGTGATCTGTCCCAGGAGAGGACTCTCGCTCGCTTGTCAACCAGTCTCTGGAGCGCCGGCCTAAGAGAATAGAAGACTCTAGCGAGCAGAACGATAAACGAAAAAAAAGATGAAAACAAAAATGCTCGAAGCCATTACTAACCTCGTTCGCCACCAGGAATTGAACATCTTGGAGAATTATGAGCCTCTCGTGAACCAGTTGTGCTGGAATTTGGGAAAGGACTTCCAGTATCACTTGTACTTCCGGCACTTCCTGGAGTCTCTAGAGTAGGAGGAGGTGTTCCAACTATTTTAGGCATTGATATACCAGGAGTTGGTGGACTACTTGGTGTATGCGTTACTGATGATGATGATGGAGCAGTATCTGATGCTTCTGTGTGGCTGCTCATAGCCATTATTTCATTTTTTTCTGATGAATGATCAATGTTTCTATCATTCTCACCGTCTGCCGCACTCACGACGAATCTCCCTGAGTTTGAAGCTGGTTAATGCGCGCCAAAGGCCATAATATATTTAAGGACAAGCGTAAATAAAAATATTCATAAAGAGAATAAAATAAATTCTAAACGATTGCTTTTTATGTGAAGTAAATATTCTAACAAAATACATCGAAAAGACATTCAATAGAGATAATAGTTTTTTTTATAGATTTTCTATCAATATTTTTTTATTTTAATATTTAATCGATTTGATTTTAAAATCATTGAGATTGAATTTTTTATTATTTTTCTTTTTAACAGATATACATATGTAGAGTAGTTATCGATAAACAATTTTCATTGCTTTTATTTGTATTAGTTCTATTTTTAGATAAACTTTTTATTGTGGAGAAAAACTTCCCTCAGTTACATTGACACAATAAACAAAAGATAACATTTTTATCTAATGATATAAAAGTAACGATTTTTTTAGCTTTGTTGAGGTTGTTTATAAAATTTCTAGGGATTTCTAAAGCTTCATTAAGCTTTTATAGTCAAGCTGTAGCGTCATTAATAAAAATTATTCTTTATGAACACGTGAAAACATAAATTTACTAGAAAAAATAAATGGGATATTTATGTGAAAATAAATACAATAGAAAAATATGTGCATATGAAGGATCTTCAAAATCCAATTTTTAAGTATGAAATATTTTAATGAATATTATAAATATTTGTAACAGATTTATATGTTAAATATTCAGTTGTAACATGAAAATATTTTTTTATCTAAATTTTTTAAATGTAAATATTCTTATTGCCAAGTCGCTATTCTTCATGGTCAATAAACATGCTTTATCCCTAGTAGCCAAGATATGTCGTCAGAATTGTTTCCATCATATGGTTTCTATTTTATTTTATTAAATAAAATTTTTCGATTTTTTTATTTTCAATTTTAACTGAGGAAGCTTTTTTTCTTAATAATAATAACGAAAAATTCTAATAAAGTAGTCATAAAAATTTATTACCGTTAGTTAAGAAAAATTATTGCTACTTCAATGGGTCTAAAAAAAAATGACTTGATAGAAATTCATAAATTATATAAGCTACGAATTTGGGTTATGTGACTTAATAAAATATTGCGTGACATTCAGAAGAGTAAGCTCAACATAAATAAAAAGCAATCCAGTGATTAGAGAATATTTATTCCAAGTATTTACCTATGACTGTTTTTGTCTGCTGGTCAGGTGATGGCGTTGATGACAGTCTTCTTACAGCTTCGCGTCGTAAAAATTCAACCTTTGCCATTTCAGTAGCCACCCAACTAGGAATGTCAGGAATTGCACAAGTAATAATAAATCGAATCCCTAACATTATATGTTCCAAGGCAACAATTAATAAAATCGTTTGAGTCGCTGACATCTCGGGAAACATTCGCTGTACCTGACCACTCAGACCAATTAGAGCGCAATTTACCAAAATAGCAACTAGCCCCATGGCTTCCATTGCATTCTAAAGGCATGATTAATTAGATATTGATTATATGACGAGATTGTTTGCGGAGAATTCATTTATTTTATCCTCAATGATTAACATACTCACTTGCCATGTACCAATACTAGAAACACGGCGTCCAAATGGACGCTGAAGGACGAAACAAAGTTTAAATGCATCCCCGCGGAGCTCCAGAAGATTTCCCAACAAAGCTGCCATAGCTGCTAGTGGAAAGGCCGATGAAAATAGACATACGTAACCCAACTGGGAGAGCATCTCCAAATGTTCTGAAAATGCCCCGTCGTACTGAAAAATTAAATTACTTTTTAAGGTGTGTTTATTGTTTATTTCTTAACGTTCATGGTAATTCTGAGGATGAAATTATTTTTTAAACCTTATAGGTGGTATGAGTTTGAGAGTATACAAACTTTTGTGAATAATAAAATCTCTATTATTTAATGAATTCATTAAATGTCATGATTTTATAATTTTATTGCATTTTTTGCAGTGTATTGGTTGAGTTAAAAAATGTTTCTTCGTTTTAATCACCATGAGCGTTAATATGTTAAGTACTATCTATTGAATTCTATTTAGAACGAGAATAAATCAAGCAACTTTGCAAAGCGTGTTATCGTGAATTATTAAAAAACATGATTGATGAATTTATTGATAAATTGATTGATTAATTAATTAATTTTGATTAATGTGAGTGAATTAAACCAATGGGTAACTTTTACCTTTTTATTCATCTGTATCTGTGCGTGTTGACGACGAAGTACCAATGAAGAAGTATAAAAAATTATTAAAAACTTGAAGAAAATATGTCGACGAACAAACAAACAGACAAACAAATAAACATTTAAATAAGGATCATAATGATCACGGTGATGAAGGAACTGAAATTGATGGAGTGAATGAAATGCAAGTGTTCTAAATCGTAATTGACAATCATTTACATGCGGACATTGGTGGTAGATTCTTTCCAATAGAAATAGTTAAACAAAACACATTGGCTATTTCGGTGAGGTCTAGACCAAACCTTCAAAGAAATGTCACTAAGCAGAGAATTAGCAGAGTGTCCTACTCTGTAGAGTGAACTCTCCAGTTCCGCTTGACTGACAGTTCTCGGCTGTTTTCCCTTGTTGCCTTCCTTGTCCTCTTTCTCATCATTGTCATCTGCTGGTGGTTCTTGTGGCTTTGAATCTGGTTGCTGTTCTTCACTAGGCGGTGATCGTGCTTCACTTGGACTTAATGCACCAAACAATTCGAAACTTAATCTCGCCAGTCGTAACTGCTCTATCAGGTACGGAATTGCAGACTCTTTCAGGTTGCTGATTACTTGTCGAGCAATTAACAATGCTGCCAGTTGCTGGAATATTTTTTAGTTATTTTAGTAAGATTTTTTTTGTGATGGTTGAAAAAAAATTTATGCTTTAGATAACCTTAGGTTGGATTTTACTGGAGATATAATAGCTAGGCTATTGAAGAATCAAATGTAAGAATGGATTAACCTCATTTTTAGATAATGTTTGGATTTAGTTTTTTTTCTTTAGTCAAGTAATGGCAGTAAATAGTTGAGGTTTTTATATTTTTGTAAATTCAATTCTTTATTTTGCTATGATTTTTATTATGATTGAAATTAAGAATATTCTAATAGTTTAGTTGAGTTAACCAGATGTGTTTCCATTTATGACAGAACTTTTTTGTGAAAGAAATATTTCCAAAAAAAATGATATCTTTTTAAGCCAATTAAAACATTCACTGCAAAAAGCACTTTTTAGATTGTAAACTATTTTACATAAAAATTTTATGCTATTCTACTAAAAATATTGGATAAAACTCAGAAAAATGTAATATTTTATCCAAATTGTAGTTTCATTCCGAGATCATTTTTTTATGCTCCAAAATATTTTAAATATTAAAATTTTTTATTTCCTAACATTCAAAGCAGTAAACGAATTATTAGAAGTATTATTAAGTATAAATTTTTTTCTTACTTCAAAGAAATTATAAAAAAATTTTAATATAAGGTTGTTTAAAGCGAGTACGTATGAGACTGAAGAGTAATTATGAAAATTATGGTTGTTAAGAGCTTACTTCCTTTAGTCTTTCTTGATCTTGAAGATAAAAAGCGATGTAGAAAAGCGAGAGGAAGGAGTTGACAAACTGGAACTGAATAAAAAGACAATTAAGAGTATTTAATTTTAACCAAAATTTAAGTTATTTTACGTGTTAAAAAAAATTTTTATATTAAAATGAAATTAGATTCTTTGTCAATGTTAATTGGATGCTAGCAAGCGGAATTGTCCGAATCCACCCAATAAAAATTAATCAAGTTATCATTTTCATTTCACACAGAACTTTTTTAACGACAAAATAAATATTCTTAAAATTAAACAAATCATAAAAATCAATTTAAAAAAATGAAATACATCTTCTTTAAACATTGACAAAAAACTACTGATGTTAATTTTATATCGAACATTCTTCAATTTATTCAAAAGGAAAATTTAGAGAAATGAATGATTTTATTAGAAAATAAAAAAGAAAATACATGCAAGTTATAAATTCAAGAAATTAAATGCAAAAATATACTGGTGACAAATAAAAATAAACTATTCTCCCGAAACAATTAAGCAGCTTTTAAAGAGTTTTTAAAAAGCGTGAAAGCATCTTATAAAACTTTGGTAATGTGAAAAGTTGCAAATAAAATAGTCTCATATCATTACCAGTGCCACCTTGTAGATCAGATGATTCTCGTACTCGGTGTCAAGGCGATAGTTTTCTGCGTCCAACATAAAAAAAATCATAGATACTATACCTACTCGATGGACTTTAAATTGAAAAATATAATAATTATAATAACAACAACAATCATCTCTATATACCATGTAATATATTTTATTTACAACATTAATCCAAAGACTGACGAAGTAATATAAGTTTTTGTTTATTGATTTTGGTAATAAATTATTCGTTTTTCTATTAAAAAATAGAAATTAATTAAAAATCTAACATTTAAAAATATTTCTAATACTCTAGATTAAACGTGCATAGATGTAATAATATTTGTATAATGCACAGTATAAAATGAAGAAAAAAATGAGTACGATCGATAGAAAGAGTGGTTGTAAGGAAAACGGAATGCTTCTGTGATTTATAGCTAGATTTCCATTGCCAAGAAATACCTTTATGTGTTATAGTAGTAATTATGATAATAAATAATAATAATAACAAATCATACTAGTATATTTTTATAAAAAGAGAGATAAAGAATTAGACTATTGATATCAACAATTCACTCTTTCAACCCTCGATTGATCATTAGCGACTAAGTTGCTAAGTAACTATTAAGCTACGTACCCAAATCATTCAACCAAACAGCTATCTTGAAGTATGCTTCATCCATCACTGCTATCACTATCGCAAGAAGCACTTTTGGTACGTAACTCAACCAAAAACCATATCCTGCTGCTTCTAGTCGAGCATCCCACCAATCCTAGAATCAATTAAATTTTTTTCTTTTAGGAAAAAGGGATTTTCTTTTTTGCTTTTGGCTATTTGAAACCTTGATAATTAAAATTCTCTTATTTTGATGTCGAAAAAGGCACATACCTAATCGGAAATTTGGTGGTGAGGTTTGAGTTATGTTAAAAATAATAGAACAAAAATGAGATTCAAAATGGGTTATTGAGATGGAGAGAAAGAAAGTAAGAGAGTTCCAAATTATACACGTTATTAGTTAATGAACATTGACCTAATTTTTTTTTATAATTATTCACTTTAACTTTATCATCGCCACGTAAAAATTATTCAGTCGAATATTTAAAACAACTATTTACATTAGCCCTCTTAAAAAAACTTTCCGTTCAAATTCTTTTTAGAATTCCATTAGCTTTTTAAAAATGTTATAATTTTATTCATGTCATTCTCTTGGTACATGCTCGAATAGCTATCAAGGTGCTAGAGTGTACAGGCTAAAATTGAACAACTAAGGGTATATATAAATAAGCAAAAAACTTTTAAGATTTTTTATTATCTGAGTTGAAGATGAAAAAAAAAGTTTATATAAGGCAATAAAACATTATAAAATTTATAAAGAAGATGTGAAAAATATTCATGCTCCAAAATGTAAGGTTTATCTTCAATTAAAACAAAAATTCATATGATTTTATATGAAATGTATCAAGTACCCTGATACCCTTGAAGATAAATATTAAAAAGTTCAATTTAACATTTATGTAGAAATGTTCAAGTTGAATTTACTAGAAATCTTGTCATGTTCGTGAAATAAGGTATGAGATTTATGGGATTATCTAGCATGTCTTGTTTGTTAGCTACAGAATTACTGACATTTTCTCTGACACTAAGAAAAACCTTAGATGAGGTGAAGTCTATAAAATAGTGGGATATTGATAATATAATATAAAATAAAGTAGAATAATAGAGCACAGTTACGTTGGATAACAAAATTTAGGATCAAGCATTAGACTAGACTGTGAACAAACAATTGTTTTTATTTTCTGAATGAAAAGATGTGGCCGGATGATAGACTAATGTTTTAAATTAATAAAATACAACCTTCTGTGGTAAACATATTAATTTTCTTACTTTTTTTTTTATTTTATAAAAAAATACTAGACCAAGTCTTTTATTATGCTGTTTTTTGTTTGAGGTTTCTTTTGGACAGCTTTCCAACAAAGCGAGTCGGTAAAAAATTTTCTGATTAATTAGATCTAAGTACAGATCGATAGAATTGAAGCTCTATTTCTCTCATGAGTATCACAAATTCCAATCATAATTATTTATCTTTTATCTTCTTGAATAAATTCATTCAAAAGTGAGGAAAATATTAATGCATTAGGATAAATGAATTTTATTGATTTTCTTATTTTTAAAGGGAAACTGCAAGAATTTTATATTATCAAACGTTAGAGAGATTAATGGAGTGGCAAAAGAAAGGAAATTATTATTTTTATGAAAATTAAAAATTATTGTTATAAGACTTGGAAATATTGTGAGTGTTAATTTTTAAAGTTCTTTTATTGATAAAAAATGATAAAGTATATCAAAACTGTCATTTGAATTAATAATATGAAAATTATAATTCCGTTTCACTATTTCAATCGATATCATCCATTATTTCGCTTGAAAAAGTACATGATAAATTTTAGTAGATTTCTTATATGGAAATTTAATAACTCTTTGACAGAGAACATTGAAAAGTGAATGATTTACTTAACAACACGATTCTTTATTGAAAAAGAAATTAATGATCATTATTTAATCCTGTCTGATTGAATTTTAAATAATTAAAATTCAGTTTTAAAAAGCAATAAATTTTTTTTTTAATGTGTTTTTTTAAATTTTTCCTTTATTATAGATTTCTTGAGGTTTTTCTAATCAAAGAATAGTACATACACACTTTTTTATCATGACTCTTCAGATTTGGGTTACCGATAAATTCAACAGAGAGAAAAAAAATAAAAGACTCATTGATTATTCTTACCTGAATTTGAAAACTAAGAATCATAACAATGAAAACGAAGAAAAGGGAAACAGCAATAACAGGAACAGTTATACAATATCGAATAGCATTTCTTTTCCAATTGGGGTAAGTTGGTTCCAGTCTTCCCGTTACTGGTGACACTTGCAGTGTCCCCTGGAAACAAATAAATTCATTAAATGGTTTAATTTAGTAGTAGAATTTTATTTTTGACAAACCAATACAGCTAAAACGTATTGTGAAAGTTACGAAAACACAGATCACAGATGAATTATATTTTACCACAAAACTACGTCTTTGATCATTGATTTTTTTTTGTGTACAAGCCTACAACCAGATTATTATGAGATATTTATTTTCTTTCTTTTTCGAATAATATTTATTCTTCATTTCTTCTCGGTTCAAACATTTATTCACTTGGAATGAGAGTTGAGGAAATAAATGTAATAAAAAATAAAGAATCTAAGTGAAAGAAAGCTTGTCTTTGAAATATTTTTAATGGAAATTAATCATGTGACAGCAGACATATTCTTTTATACATTAACTATTATTATATTTTTTTTATAAAAAATGTAAAATAATATAGTTAATTAGTTGAAATGAATTTATTTTTTGAGTCTAACTCTTTCAACTATGAGTACATTAAAATGAAATTTTCTTTTCTGATAGTTCTTGATGTCTCATGACACTGAATAGTTGAACATATTATCATGATAAATTCAATTATGTTGTTACACTTGAAATATTGAATTTTTAAACATTTGTTCAAAACTTTTATTTATTTATTCTTCTCTTGTACTTTGAAACATGGAAGAAAAGTTTTTGATTAATAGTACCAACATTTAGATTTGTTATTTCAATTCCTTTTAACGTGGAAACATTCTAATGTGATACTGATTATGATAATTTTAGATAGCTTGTTCTCTTTAAATTCACTGAACCATAAAAACTGTTTCTTTTTGTAGTAGCTTTGAAAACTTGAAATTTAAAAAAGAGATATCTGAAAAAATTCCTTGACAAAATCTATTTTTCTATGACAATGATTGTAGAAGATAAGAGTTTATCTCATATTTATGCTATTCTTGTTTAAGAAAAATTTAATATAGTGGAAAAAATTTTCTTTTATCTGCAATACTGATCTTGGATAAATTTATTTAGAAAAAAAAGTTGGATCTTGGATTTTTGATCAGTGGAAAAGGTAAAATTGACAAAATCACTCATATTAAAAAAAACAAAAAAAAAACAGTAGAAGGTCAACGATAAGAAAGTTCCAAAGTAGTTTCAATCCAACTGGGAACTGTAAATAGTTGTTCAAGAAGCTAATGATGATTTGTTTCACTTGGTTTTGGTAAACTTGGGAAAAAAATTAATTTTCAAAAAACATTAGTTTTATCTGTGTCATATGTTTTTATACGATGTAAGCAAACATTATTTTCAGCTACGTTAGACAATTCTTTACAAATAAAATTCCTATCATCTAACATTATCTTTTTTTTCCTTTAAAAAATTAGACTTGAGATAATTCATGATAAATAACAGAGTTCACATGACTACTGCAGTTGTAATCTAATATAATTAACATGAAATATTGACTAATAAACACTTTTTTAAAATAATATTAATTAAAACATCAAAGGAATAAAAAAATAAAGAGCATTTTCAGTTTTGATAGCAAATAATTGTTTTAAATGTGATCGGTTGATTAAATTCACATACCACAAAAAGAGGCCTTGGTTCAACGAGTAAATCATCTCTTTGATCGAGAGTTCCCCATTTGTAGGCCAATTCTGCGCCTTTGCGCTTCCACGTTTCTAAGTAGGCGGTTGCCCAAATGACGTTGAAAATGGAGAAAAGGACGTATGCAACATCTTCCACCGCTTGGTTCCTGCCAATGATGCCGACCTAAGCACACCAATAAATCACAGATGTATTATTAAATGCTCATTCCAGATATGAATGTCTTTATCATCAATTGTATCATCAGAACAGATCATAATGAATAGCTGTAATAAAGGCTCTTACCCAATATATGACACCCACTGCAGCAGGAACGACTAGGGCGGTGGTGTAATGACCAAGCCATGCGAAATACATAGTAATTTTTACACCAAAGTATTTGCAGATGTCATCGAGTGGCTGAGGACTGCAAAAAGCTCTGACCCAACTTTTTTGCAGTTTCTCCAAAGCCGGCAGCTCATGGAGCGGGAAGACCTGCAGCAATATTTCATGTTTAATTCAAGTTATTTTGACATAAGCTAACGTATTCAACTGCAACAGCTTGAGAATCTGGAGAATTAACATTCAAGGCACCTGAGAGATGATCCCAGCTGAAATGCATTTAGGAATAATGGCCTGACCCTCGACTATTTTGATGCCTGGAAGACTTGATAGGTCTTGCTGAGTTGCACGTAGTGTGTTGAGAAGGTGTAGCACCAAGGACTGTCTTTCTTGAGTTGTGAAGAAATTTGTTTGATCATCACTACCCTCAAAATAACTTGCTTCAGATCCTATAAATTCTTTCAACCCTCCTCCATACTCTTGACATAGAGCTTTTGGGAGATGTACTTCTTCTGCAGCCTTTAGCAATCTGAATAAATGAATTTGAATATTAAAAAATGGAAAACTTCTTTAAAGCGATCCTGAGAGAAGAGTTTGGTGATTCATAAAAGTAGCCTTTTTACAAAAATATTTAAAATAATGTAAATAAATTAGGCATTAAAACTCAAATAGCTTGAAAGCGTGAATTTCTGTTGGATATACAGCTAACTAGTTATTAATTGAATTTATTCAGCGTACAATCAAAAGCTCAATTGGTTTCGTGTATCTGATGTTTATCTTTTTTTTTGTAGATTTATCAGTAATTGAAATGCACAAAATATTTTATTTTATACACAAAATTATTTTTGATTAAATCGTATGGTCAGAAATATAAATCTACAGTTAAGCAATGAATGAGGATAAATTATAAATGTTTTTATGATGTTTAATTGAGTGTCGTAATTCATTTAAATATTCATTGTAGAAGTTAAACATGAAACAACTAATAACTTTGTCATTTAATGATTTTTTGTCAACAGTTAATAAATTTTTACGTAGAGTTCTTCATAAGTAAAGAGGGTGTGTTAAAATAGCAAGTATACTTGGCATTTGCAAAATTACAAAATTTGCTTAAAAGTTTTACCCATTTAATCACTAAAATTCATGTAACAAATTTCAATATTTTATAATAAAATACCATCTTTATGAAAGGTCCTTCACTAAAGTATTTTTCAATATAACAAAATTAATCCACCGATAATATTAAAAGCGATGGAAATTTTTTCTAATTAAATAAATCTTGGATTTGATTGAATTCTTTTGTGATAAAAAAAAACAAAAACTTTCATTTTATCGTCGACATGGGAATTAATTTGTTGATATTTTTTTAACTCCATTAATTTTATCCCTTTGGATTATATTTTTTTTATCTAGTATCACATTTATGAAACCACAACAAATAAAACACTTCTTTATCTCATTAAATCGTGATTTATAGAATGTTCACAATAATTGTTCTCGATAATCCCACAAGATTAATTTATGTTTGAGAACTACATAGATTTAAAACAAGCAATTTTTTACGCGAGTAATATTGTTACAAGAAAAAAAATGGGGTTGCAGATTCATTGCGGTCCGCGTATTTTTAACTCAATTTGTCCTTTCATATTACCTTTACCCCAGATCTTTTCAGGGAAATAAAAGGCAGACCATGAGTAGAAATTCTCATTCATGTCTTCATAAAATAAATGAAGTCATTTACCATGAATAACATAAGCCTGTCCTTTTATAACAAAAAATATATTTATTTATCCATCACACAATGAAATGATAAAATTTTCACATAACATCTGTCTACCTCAACTTGACTCCTCTCTCAGTACCAAGATCAATTTTATTTTATTTCACTGGTGATTTCATACACTGGAAATGGTGCTGTCAAATAAAATCCATAACTATCTGAAGACGCGTGATGTCTAACGTGAACGACAAGACCTGGAGTTCCAGCTCGAAGTCTTCCAAGGAGCCACATGAGTGTTTCGTCGTTTGCGCCGCTTGGGAACATGACAACAACGTCGCATTCCTAAATAAAAACCCATAAAAAATATTTAATCAAAAAATATAAAATAACATGAAGCAAAACAATAGATTAATAAACATGTTCAGGCAACATTTAATCCATTGATAAACAATAACGTAAATTATTGCTATTATATATGCGATTATACACAGTTTAGTCACGCATTAGCTTTTATTCAAAGAAATCAATGCTGTATATATGTGGGAATGGTCAATGTGACACAACAATGGGTGTTATGCAATCGATTAGTTATTGTCATGTCGACGAACTCAGATAAAGGAAGCAAGAGAATAAGAGACTTTGGAAAACATGTAATAATTTAATAGATTTATATGTGGGTAAAAACAATGCACATTCGTCATTAGCCACATGTAGACTTGGCGCCTCTCATCTTGCTACACTTTTTCCAATATCCATCATAATACCTAGATTACAGAAAAAAAAAGAGTAACAATACAAGAAGAGGAAGGTATAGTGCATTCAAGCAATAATAGGCTCGATTCGGCTACTGAGTTCTGGCACGAATTACGTACATTATTTTGGCAGTAGTCCAACATAGACTACATAACAACCAATGGATTCGTATGTAAATGTTACGGTTTGTTCTCATACAATACTTATGTTCAACCTAGTCACTTACCCCTAAACGGCCCGAATTGTTCATTCCAATGCAATCTTGCGAAGGTTGATAATTTATTGTAAGATGATTGAAAAAGGATAGCATGTAATGTCTGGTAAATTTAGCATTGACATTATTTTTTAATATAAAATGACATTTTGATTCATTGTGTTCAGTTGAAGGACTTTATTTGACTCAAGGAAACAAAAGGGAATCAGCTCATTTACTATAATCTGCTTGGTGTTGCCGGCAGAATAGCTAAAAGGGTCAACACGACAGGTTTCATATGCTGGACTGGTTTGATAAGAAGCTACTAGTAGATTGGAGTGCGTTGATTGACAATTAAATACGACTGTGTCAATATTTGATTACAGATGTGTTGAAAATTTTATTGCATTAAAATAATTGCTATAAATTATAACTACATGATGTAACGTGTGATGTTTAATCAATATGAACAACTTCCTGGTTATATAAATGTGGATATTAATTCTTTAATGTATTAAAATTGATACTGATACTCACTTGAGTTGGAACCTTTTGGATCCAGAGGCGGCGGGGGGTCATCAGATGACCAGTACATGGTATTTTACGCCTCAGGAGACGGGAAGCTGCAATAGTTCACAAATTTTATTTATGATCTGATTTTGCAGGCTCTATTTGGGGAATTTTATTTTCTCTGACATAAATATCTGGAATTGATTGGAGTTATTTCAATTGTTTGAGTCAGCTAAAGTCTAAGATTAGAAAAGTAAAAATTTAGATTATTCGAAATGTGCATGCAAAAAAAAAAACATAAAAAGAAACATGTGAACTTATGGGTTAATATAAGAAGGCTTAGTAGCGTCTTTTTCTGCCTCCCTCATTCTCTTTATTGAACGAACTCGGTCACTGTAAGTGGGCCGACGAATTTAAGAGGGGAATTCACTTTTGCCAAGAATGAGAGAACAAATGAATATCATCCTTAGGCTATAGATATAAGCAGACGCTGATTGAACAGAGATCAGAGAGAAATTTTTATTGTCCATGGTAGAAATAAGCATTGTTGATGATTAAAAATTGTTCATATTTATGTTGCTCGAAAGTAGCGGCCAACTGTACTAATAACTTAATATTTGATACTTTCCGAAATAAAAGTCATAAAAAGCTCGATGCTCAAGCAAATTTACCTCAATTCAACAAAAAGCTTTTCAAACCTCAGCACTTAAGAGCACAATATCCTCTCTAATGTTTTGCGGATGCTTCAGCGGTCTATAAGAGTGGGGGCCACGTGACAGAAAAACTCTTGGTGGTTTGCAAGCTCAATATGAACACTCTTTTATCATCATCAATTTATATATATTTACGTTTGTAAAAACCCACACTTCAACCGTTTTTTCAACACTTTTTTAATAATAAATAAATTATTTTTAAACACAAAAAAACATACAAATTTCTGGAGATGGTGCTGGTGCTAAATCTTACCCTTATCAAAAGTCTCTTTAGCTGCTCGTATGACCTTTCTTCTTCTAATACCATCTCCTGTGATTGTCATCGCGGCATCGCCCTCGCCGCCATCTGAATTATTAATTGATGCACATTCATCGGCACTTGTGACACCCGATGGTAGTCGGACATCACTAAAATTGATCGGGGTATTGGACCCCTCGCCGCCTGGCATAATGAGAACCCGACGTGGGTAGGACTGTCTTTAGTCCTTACACCGAGAACCTGAGCGCTTATACTGACTTCCGCATGGCGTCGTAGTCGTAGTTAACCCTATCTCCACCCTTCACCACCACGTTCCAGCGATTCCTTGCCTACCCTCTCTCTTTCTACGGTCGTATCACCTCAGAAGGGAAGCACAACGATGCGCAGCAAGTTGAGCTTTTTTGCGCATTTTACACGCCATCTGTGGCTTAACCTCCAAGCATGCGCTTTTACGATCGATGAACAACCATCGCTATCGCTACACATTTATCGCATCTTTTAACCCTCTGCGAAAAACATTTCCCCTACTTTAACAAGTTCCCAAGTTATTTCAAGGTTCGCAAATAAAATAGATAAGTCGTGAATTTGATGAGCAAATAACACAATATCAACTCATTACCAGAATTAGAAGGTATTAATAAAGTTTTCACAGTTATGAGTTGTTGATACAATTTGTTTGAGGGTCAATACAATCATTGCAAGTAGAGAATCGATCGTTCTCAATGCCCGCCATGAATGCCCTTACAGAACTTTTTCTCCATTCATTTCTATTTATAGATCGCGAACTTTAATTCTATCTTTACTTCGACCAATGTATGTATATTGTTGAAAAAATGATTCGAGGAATTCTAAACAAGGAAAAGGAAGTTTGAATATTTTTTAAAAATATTTTTATTTAAGTAAAATCTCGTCGATTCAATACACTTAATACTTGATTTATCCAAGTTAATTAATTATATAAATACATTAATTATAATGATTAATTACTATGATAAAGACTCACTTTAAATGACAATGTCGTAGCACTAGTACGCATGCATTTTGCAAATTTTATCATTCACACAACGAACTGCGTTTGTTATTACCCGCAAAGGCGGTTGCGTGGGAAAGAGGAAAAAAAAACGTCACATGAATAATTCAGGTAAAATATACAGTTACGCGAAAGGTGTGATGAAAATCGATTAGTACAATTTAATGTTGATAAATATAATGACGTGACATTACCAATGACTTGTTGATGGCTTTGTGTAATTTTGACGAGGCGTCGAATAAATAAAATTAAATAAAAAATAGTTAGAGAAAGGTAAGTGATAATTTATACAAGTTAAATAATTTATATAAATGATAATTATCATTAACGACGCCTAATGATGATGAGAAATTGGTTATAAGACTGCCTTATCATCTTTCATGAAAATCCTTTCTTGGTTTAGTCATAACACAGCGACCACGATAACAAATTTCAGTCATATGAGAGACTTTGGTTGATGTCGAAGTCCTGAGAATTGCTCCAAGCATTTCTGCTGCATTCTTAGCAGTACTGGTAGTGGGTTCAATTGTTGTTGATGCATCTATTGTGGTTGAAATACCGGAATCACTTGTCAAAGCCTCAGTTGATGTTTGTAATAATGTTGTAGGTTCTTCCTTCGAACTTGTGGATTCTGTAGGAGTTGGAGAAACTTCTGTGACTTTATTTATACCTTCTTTCTCATCGTCATTCGACAAAGCCGATACATCTTCGTTATTCTCAGCCTTAAAGTCTTTATCTTCTTCAGCAGACTCGCTTGAAGTTTTCTTTATACCTATAATAGTTGACAAAGCTGATGGAAAATCATACACTTGAGTTGTTGATTTAGTTTCATCATTCCAGAGGTTTGGTGCATTGTCAATTATTGCACGTTCTTCATCGGCGGTTTTCATTGATTCAAAAATAGCTTGAACATAGTCTGAAAGTGCATTAACATCACCTGATGGTTTGGTAACAAGACCAGGAACTTGAGTTGTAGTTGTTGTTTTCTCTGATCTTCCATATCCATAAATATTGCGATCTGATGGATACCTCACTTCACTCCATTCACTTCGATGATTTTTGGGATGAGAATTTTCTTCTGAATGATTATTGGAGGTTTTGGTATCTTCATTACCGTCTTTATCACCAGTTTTAAATTCATTATCGCCGGAAATTAATGTCTTTTCCATTTTCTTCTTTAACCATACATTGTAAGCCGTCAAAGAATCCCAAGACTTTCTTGGTATTGACAGCGTAGTCGTCAATGACGTGGCTGTTGAATTATCATTCAAAGTTGTATCAAATTGTGTTTGTGAATTCTCAGTGGTTGTTGTCACTTGTGGGGATTTTGTCTCTACACTTTCTTCATTATTTACTGGTTGTAGTGTAGAAACGTCTAATTGCTTGGTGTACTCTGGAATTTCAGTGTAATTGATAGTCGTCGAGTCGGAGGGTGTTATCGATTCGTCGCCATTCGAAATTTCCGAATAGTTTGTTGTGCTCGGTTGCTTCTCTACACTCTCAGTCGTTTTCTGGATAAATTCTGATGATGAAGTAGCAGGAATTGTATATTTTATTTGATCTTGAACTAAATTATTTACTGCTGAATTGAAATTTTGCGATTCTGCTGTTACGAAATCATCGCTTTGTGCTGGACGCACACGAACTCGTACTCGCCTTCTTCTTCCTCCCAGCTAAAAAAAAGACGAATGAGTTGAGTTAAACTTTCCTGTTAACTTGTAAAGTGGAAGTAGTCATTCATTTTTTTTTTTGGTCAACCGCATATAAAAACTTTTTACTTGATTTTTATAAAATGTGAAAATTCTCGAATAGTTGATTTTAAATGAGTAATTTTCAGAATTTTCCATCAAATTTTAAAAATCTAAGCGAAGTTTTATAAACAAAATGACAAAAAAAAATGTTAATTAAACATACAATCGATTTTTTTTTTAATTTATTCATGAAAAATTTTTTTTACTGATTTAAATAATAATTATAAAAAAATCATGTAAAAGCCATTTAAAATTCTGTCTAAATAATAATAACTTGTTAATCATTTTTTAGTCTACACTCTCAGTGAATATAAAAATTAATTATTCCAATTAACTTACCCTTCTTCTTTGCGGTACATTTTCTCCACTCTCAGGTTTCATTTCTACTGCCGACATTTTCATACCAGAATCTGCTGACTCAGTGGTCATTTCAGAAGAATCATTTCTAGTAATATTTGTTTCATTATCAGATGTGACTATAACAGTCATAATTTCTTCTGGTTTTGCAGTAATAATTTCCGGTTCATTTTCTTTATCTTGACCTTGGTATTGTTTCTCTTCCCGCATCTGCTCTTCATCATGATTGAGTTGATTGATCGGTTGGAATGATGATTTAGTTAACTTAGTAGACCACTGACTTTCAGATCCATAAATGTCATGTTCAGGTGCAACAGCATGATTTGAATAAGGTCTTAATCTCGATCCAGAACTGTCATGTCGATAATTCGAAGCTACGTGATAATTGTGACCGGGATGATGCATGGACTGACTTTGATCCTGTTGCTCTTCAATTAAGGAACTTGCTCCAAAATTGAGCATGAACTCCTGCGTTGGATACTACAAAATTAATAGATTAATGAACTGGCTCATACATTCTGTAGAAGTTACGGAAACTTCTTAATGGGTTACTTACACTCTCATCAACATAATCTGCACGGCTTGGCCCCCCTAGAGATCCGGAATTTGGTGGAAGGGTTTCATAATTAGAATCGTAGAGTTGTTTTTCAATGCTTCCTGCTGTTGGATTTATTGGAACCTTTGGATAATTTTCTTCTAATGGTAAATTGTTATTTCCTTCTAAAATATACTCAGTTGTTGAAGTTGTTGTTGTTGTTGTTGTTGTTGGACGTCTTCGCAAAGGTCTACGACCTCTAACTTTAAGTCGATTCTTTGGCTCTTCAGCTCTCACTCGAGGTTTTGTAGTAAATGAAGAACTTTCTGGACTAGTGGGTGGTAGAGTGGTGATTGGAGATGTGGATGATTTGATTGTAGGTCGAGGTCGGTGTGGCGATTGGTACTTTTGGCGATGTTTAGGTACTTGACTATAGGTTGGACTTGAATCCTCTGCCGTTTCGTCAGTTGGCCCAACATTCTGCAGTTGAATCTGCGAATTATTTATGAATAATTAATTATAGTTTATAATTAGCTCTTTTTATTCTTTTTTTATATATTATATTTGCATCAGAGATAAAAAAACTTTTTATCGATTTTTACATCAAAATTACCATTTTAATTTTTTTATTCTTTAGTTATTTAAATAACTTTAAGATTTTTTTTATTTCGATAATTTTTAAAAATATCGATTGACATAAGATTTTTTTTCCCCCTTTATTTAAAAATAGAAATTCAGGATTGATTTTATCATTATTTATATATATTCTACCTGTGAATCTGGAGCTCGGAATTTGCTACTGATCTGATGGTGGGGTTGATTAAAACTTGGAGGACGAATGAATCCATATTCATCGTCATCTTGAAGTGAAGAGTCTTCTGTAGTAGTTAGCGGTGCAATTGTTGTTGTCGTTGTTCTAGGTGCAGCTGCTTGTACAATAGTTTTTGGGTATGGTCGGTTGGCTGATTGTATCCTCACGTATTCATTTCCTTCACTTTGCACTTGAGCTTGATTATAATAATTGGGTCGTGTTTTTGGTCGTGGACGAGTTGGATCCCTTCCACGATTAGTTGTTGAAGAACGATTTGGTGTATTTACTGCACTGAAACGTACATATTCTTCTTGTGGCCCACGAGGTTGAGTCTGGATTGCAGAATCTTGTCGAGGACGGCCACCTAAACGTGCTCGAACTCTCTGACGAAGGATAACAGGAGCTGAGGTTGTTGTCGTAAGAGGTAACTCCGTAGTAGTCTGAAAACAATATTTTTTTTTAAATATTACGCTATTTTTTCAATACCTAAAAATTGATAATTAATTGTTTGTGGAGCTGGACTATGGTTAATTAAATTTCAAGTTTTTCAAGACAATTTTTAGTAATTACTTAACAAGAAGAATATATTTAACACTGCTTTAAAGTTTTAATTAAAGCTCTTACAATATTTAAACTTCATCTAAATAGCAAAATGAGTACTAAAACAATGTGTACAGGAATTCATTGAATTAAATGTAAACATTTGAAATAAATTCTAACAAATGATCGATAAAAATCAGATCGAAATGATCGTTTAAATTTAATCGTGTATATGCGATACAATGTTTTACAGTGTATTGATTTTCTAATACTACTAGACATAAGTACCCAACTTTCTACTTTGAATTGATTCAAGAAATTAAATAAAGCAACTTACTTCAAGCTCACGTTCAGTGATAGCTGTACTGATTAGGCCTTGTGTATCATCAATAAGTGCACCAGTTTCTTGAGTTTGCCCAACCATATCTGGTCTAGTGCCTGGTCTATATTCTAAGATCTGAGAGTAAACTGGCGCAGCTGTTTGAACACCAGGTTCAGCACTTTCACTTTTATCTTGGTAATAATTATAATCTGCTGGCGATGAAAGAATACTTGGGGTTGAGTCTCGAACACCTTCTCTAGTATCATATTCAAATCCAACAGTTTGACCTTCTAAATTCTCTGAATAGCCTGAAGCTGGTGCGTGGTATTTATCTTGATAACGTTGTTGTGAGATTCCGGCATTAACGCCCACCTTTTCATTTCGATGTGACGAAGACAAAGATGGATAATTCGGGATCTTCGAGTAATCTCTCTCTGTACTGAAAGAGATGGGTGAGGTTTCCATGCTTCCTTCATGCAGATAAGCCGAAGGGCTTTCTGTTCCAACTTGAACATTATAGTGAGAATATGTCGACTGACGTACATTATTTGAGTCTTCTGGGAGGCTTCCTTCGTCTGACAAAGTTTCTTGGCTTGGAATTTGGTTCAAAGTCTGCATGATAATTGATAAAATTCAATTTATTGAAATCAACTCAGAGTCTAAGACATTTGCAGTATTAATTTTGATCATATTTAATTTTATTGAAACAATATTGTAATTTTTTTTTGGTTTCATGTTTCTTATATAAATATTAAAAGAATAAAATTATGTAAAGTATCGATTTATATCTTCATATTTATGAGTACTTAAGTAAATGATAATGTTTATTGGGTCTATGGGAAACGGTATAGAACTGTAAAAAGTCATTTTCAATACTTTCAAGATGATTGTACTGGTTATCAGCTACTTTTCTAGCTGTACTTTAGGACCGGTTTGTTTTTTATTACTATTTTTAAAATAATTTATTTACATATGAAATGAAATATAGTTGGTATTTTTATGGTCTGAGATTTCTTTTACAAGTAATTAGAAAGGTTTCATTTGGAATTTTAATTCTCTACTCTTTCATATGTTTAACAAGTTATTGATTTTCCGTAGGAGTTTTCTTTGCTTAATGAAAACTTACATTAGAATAGACAAATATTTATGCAAAATCCATAATTATGAAGTAGCATTCGTTTTTTTTTAAATAGTAATTCTAATAATTTTTTTCTTTCAGTAATTAAAAACTCTGTTACTACAAGCTAATAAACATTTCTCAAGTAATTGTTTCTAAAATATTGAAGTTGCTTCTTAAAAAGAATATAAAATGAAATTATTTTTTTCAATCTTGAAATAATCAAGGATGTCACTATAAAAAACATAGCAAACTTAACTATTGATTAACACTCAATTATAAGCGTCACGATTATATCGGATTATCGACCTTGTAATACATTAATGTCATATTATTGCCACTGAATTAAATTTTCGACTGAAATAGTGACATAAATATGAATAATAAAATCATGTCGTGATAAAACATCAAACAGAATATATTTTATTTCCAATTTAGTGTTCAAGGGGAATAAATAAAATTTCAACTTACCGTAGTTTCATAAGAGTTGCGATCTCCACCACGATTTTTTAATTTTTGTGCTCTAGTCGAAACCGGTCGGCGATATTGTTCTTGATTATTATATCTTTGCGTGGTATCAGGTACTTTAGCTTTAGTAGGCTCATAGGATGTATCTCGGTACTCCTCAGTGGTAGAAGTAGTGTATCTTGATCTAGATCGATTAAATGGCCGACGAGTTCTCTCATAACTCTTCGTAATTCCTGGTGAAGAAGTGGTTGTGGATGTAGTTGGTCGAGAAGCGATTCTACCTCTGATGAACAGACAATTTAAGATTAGTAATAATCTCATGAAGGAATTGTTGACACAGAGAAGTTGCTAGATGACTTACCGTTGTCTTACTCGAGTTCTGTAATTCGTTGTTGTGGCTTCTGTAGTTGTAGTGGTGGTTGGTTCTGGAGTAGTTGTAGTGATGGTCGTAGTCTTATCAGCATCCTTTCCTTCGAGTAATGAATTAACCAAACCGGGAAGTTGAGGATGAATTGGAGGTAGTTCAGCTGGGAGGTTATACTGATTTGGACCAGATTGTGATGGGTCTTCATAAGAACCCTGCACGTTAGGACTAATTTGATATAAGTGATGTTGATGACTCAGTCCAGGTTGTTGGCTTGGATGAATATATGAATTTTCGGTATGTTGATGCTGCGAGTAATCATGCTGATTAATCTGTGCTAATTGCGAAGTGAGTTCTTGATCCTTATTAGGTTGTGTTCGAGTGTGAGCATAACTGTCTTGATAGACTGGAGTTGTGGAGATTGGATTTTGACTGTAACTAAAGGATGATACTACATTAGGTCTCTGATAACCATCAGGAGTTACTTGGCTCAAGTAAGTTTGTTCAGAATATTCCTGAGGTCGTGGAGCCGCAGTAACTTCTTCTTGATAAGGAGAAATCGATGGGGATTCTTGACTTTCCAAGTTGGGGATTCCGCCTTGTTCGTATTGTTGTTGTCGATATTTGTATCTATCCTCGTGGGTTGAAGGATAAACTGGACTGGAATATTGAGGGGTAGCTTGCTCTTGAGTGTAAGGAGAGTAAGGAGAAGCTGTAGAAGACTCATAAGTTTGATAAGGAGTAGATCCTTGGTCAGTTGGAGGAATAAATGAATTAGGTTCAATAAGAGGATTAGGTACTGGTTTACGATTATCTCCAAAAGAAGCACCACCGTCTTCGAGATTATTCACAATTACAGATCCAATATGAGGTGCTGGGAAAGGAATTTTGGAGTACCCTTGAGGAGGATTGAAGCTTAATGGAGCCACAAAGAATGGTATTTTATCAACTCGACGTTCTACTCGATTGGTATCAAGTGAAGATAAATATGGAAGATCAAATTTAACATATCCACGAGGAGGACCCAAGTTAGAAGGACCCACGAAAACTTTGGGAGTATCAGCAGTCACTTGATCTAACACTGCAATCGATTTAGAGTCTTTTAAAACACGAAGTACATCAACTACTCTAACTTCTTGAGCCTCTAAATCAGACCCCATGAAAACTGCAAGTGGAGGTTGATTGGGAGGTGGGAGAGTTGACGATTCTTGGTTCTGCTCATACTCTTCGTGAGTTTTATGATGAACTCTTGGACGTGTTTTATTGCGAAGTCTAGAGTTTTTAGATTTTGTTGTTTCTGTGTGATGTTGATGGTGATTTATTTCATCAGATTGGTCATGAAGGTGTTGTTTCTTAGCTGCTAATTCTTTAGCTCTTACTTCTTCCTCCTGTTTGGCTAACTTCTCCAATTCTTTAACAGCATTCTTCTGGCGTTCTACAGCTGCTAGTCTTTCGATTTCTTGTTTTGCTTTCTCTTCTTTCAATTTCATTGCTCTTTCTCTTGCTCTTTCTAATTCTTCTATTCTCGCACGTTCTCTTGCTTCTCGTATTCTTTCCAATTCTCGTTGTTTTGCTAACTCTTCTATTTTAGCTAATTCTTGAAGTTTTTTTTCAGCCTCTCTTTGTCGAGCTCTCTCTTGTTCTCGCATTCGTGCTGCTGCATGAATATTCGCTTGTTTCTGAATCTGTTGACGCTCTTCATTGAGTCTATCAAGCTCCTTTTGTCGTGCATCTTTGAAAAATTGTTCAGCTTCCTGTCCACGTGGAAAATGTACATACTGGGGAGTATAAGAACCATCTTCACCAGAACCAGTTGCTCCAATCTGATCCACCTGATATCTCTGTTGCTGTTGTTGTGGAATTGAAAACTGCTTGTGGTCGCGGTTTCTTTCCTCTTTCGATTGGCCTCGTTGCGCAAGCGTTTCCGCTGGCACGTAGACCACCTGAATCTGTGAAATTAACCGGTTTTATTGCTTCCCGCTTTCTTTGCTTCTAATATTACATGTACTTGATGAAATATCTCTCTCACCTCTTCATCGGAATTTTCTCCTTTTTCTTCTGTGCTCGATGAACCAGATGGAATTTCCTGGACTTCTTGATCTGAATGCGATTTAAATTGTTGCGCTGAGTAGACTGATGGTAGAGCTTCCGAAGAAAGTTGTGGTGACGACACTAAGCCTTCCTGGTTACTTGCTGTAAATGGTTGACCATTTGGAACTGAATTCGGACGGAATTGCTGTCTTTCATCATCAGGACCAACGACATTTGGAAGATAAGCTTGGTTCTGAAACAGTGATATAATTATTTATGCTTTGTTGACTTAATTCTTTTTTTCTCAAAAAATCTCTAGTTAACAAATTTTAGAAATTTTTTTTTTCATACTTCACTTAAGGAAAAAAAAATTGATTTACCTGAAGAAGTTGTTGTTGAGCCCGCACTTGTTGTTGTAACATTAAAATTTTATTGATACTCTCCTGCGTCTTCTGCAATTGCAACAACTGTTGTTGATATTCTTGACGCAATGCGGGTGATAAATTGATTGACTGAAGAGCAGGTAATTGAGCTTGATTAAGTGCGACTGGTATTTGCGATTGAGACTGCTGAGCTCGTGGGCGAGTTAATGGAATCCATTCACTATTTGCTGTTTGTCTTGACCATCTTTCGCTCTCAATTCCTTCAATAACAGTCGACAGGCTCAGCCAGATGGAAAGTAATATCAAGCAATTTCTTAGTATCTGCATTCATAAGAAAAAAAGGTTACTTTCGGATGTTTTATCATATCATTTTTATTCAGAGGACAAAAGGAGCCTCTTAAGCAATAAGAGTTTTCTAATTTCAAAATAAAAAATGGTCAGTCGACAACCGGAACGAAAGCAGATTCTATTTGGAAGATATATTCACATAATAGCGTAATTTAAGTATAAAATTCTTTTGTATTAATATACAACATTTTTTATTTAATTATTTAGAAATCTGCATGTTATTAAATGATAGAGAGAAATTTTCACGAATTCACATAAAGAACTAGTTTCATACGGTGACTTTTAGTTAAGGTTCTATGATTTAGTGAATGTAGTTGACCTTCTCAAGCACCGAGTTTAAGTATCTGGAAAAAGACATGTCTATTTGAAGTAGATAGTAAAGGACTAAAGTGAAATTGCTAACTAATAGTTAATTATTCTTAAGAAGTCTGGTTAATTGGACCAACTAAAGACTGATGTCAGCAGTAAGACGAATGCTCACTTGAACGCGAAAAGAAGCTCTTAAATATTGAGTCTTATATTTATTTTCTCTACTCTCATGTATATCACCATCATCATCATCATCATCGTTATTATTATTGCAGGATGAACATTGCGTGTCGTAACGCTCATATCATCGCATTTAGAGTGCAACCAAACTAACGAACTGTAAATACTTGAAGTTAAACTGATTTCCAAAGAAGAAAATGTACATAAATAGTTTTCAATTCATCATCATCATCCTCTATACCATTACCACACGATTAACTTGCATTTAGTAAAATTATTCTGCTCAAAAACCCACAGAAGAATTTATTCATTTATTATTATTTATCGTAATAATAAACAGCAATTTCATTCTTTCATGATACTTTCCTCCACACTTGTATTCGCAATCCTCGTGTACTACTGACATGATTACCTCTGCCTACGTGCATCTCTCACCGAGATTCCCCTTGCGGAAGTTCATTCGCGTGTCTCAGTTTTAAACCTAATTTTTTAGCTTTCCTCATCATCAACTTTTAACATTTTCACATTTGTTTAATAATTCAACTTTTCAACAAGTTGCATTCCTACATGATGTATGGTTTAATATATATTTTACGACTTTATTTCTCTTTCTTTTTTTTTAATAGAGTAAGGCGTGTACGAGACCAAAGTCCCACACCCAAGAGAAATAACTTTCTCTTCAGTATTGTGATAGATGCATGATTATTTGTATCGCCAAGTGAATAATTATCGATGGAATAAGTATCCCGGCATGTGTTAAAAGGAGGTCGAATACCTTTCCCCGTATTTTCTGATTTTTTATATTCATAGTTTGATATTTATGATGCTATTATTTTCTTCGTCATCGTCCGTGTTATTATTGTCATTATTGTTGTTAATATTACTTTTAATTACTATTATTATAATAGTCGAAGAACTTAGGACAAGTCATTTATATTCAATTATTATTTTAATCACGATCTGAATTAGTTGATTAAACCGTTTGGAAAATTGTTGTTGTAAAAAAAGAGAGCAACCGGTATTCCGATAGACAACTTTCTTCAGTCACCTTCGCTCTCTCGAGCTCTCATTTTCGTGGACCCGGAGCCCGAAATAATCGGTACTTTCGACTGTCTTATTTTTATGCTTAAATACACTCAAACTCTCAAAAAAATTATGCAGACATCAAAGATGCAAATTATTTTTTTTTATTTTATGAAATTTTGAAACAAAAAAAATTTCAAATCAATCTACCTCTTATATTTATTAGTTCAATTATCATTAGAAATAAGTTAATTGAAGAGTTTAGTGGAAATCGAATGAATTAATTACCTTTTAATTATTAATGAAAGTTAATAGCAGTTTTTATTTTCGATTCACATTTTTTTTAATTAAAAATTTTTATAGATGCATTAGAATTTTCAAATTAATTCTCTCTTAAGTAATTATTCTGTTGTTGAAGAATTTTTTTTTTCATTAATTGTTTAATTAGAATTGATGTTTGATATTAAATCTATACTTTACTTTGTTAAAATAATTATCTATGTAAAAGCTACACTAGAAATTTATTTTTTTGAATATTTATAGAGTTAAATGAGTTGTTTAGATGTTAAAAAAAATTTGTCTCCAATCATCCACTGTGATAAACTTGTTTTAAAAAAATTTTACATCTGAATGTGAAAACTTGGCTACTTCCTATGTACTTCCTAATCTATATTACCGGTCATCAAAACGTGAGAAAGACGAGCATGAGAAAACTAGTTGGTTCCTTTTAGCATCAATGAAGTTGTTACATGATTTCCGCGTTCTAACAGTTTAATCCTAAACTCGAAATGTTTACTCAATTTCACTTGTTTTCTAAACTGCATAACGTGAGAACATTACTAATATAATTGTCAAGTAATTAAATATTTAAAACATTCCACACTTCTTGTAATAAATGAAATAACAGTGAAACTCCTAATGATTAATCATGAATAAAATAAAGGAAAAAACTGCAGTTTGATGACCTGATAAAATTCCCAGAAATTAGAGAAGTGATTTTCTTCACACACTGACCTCCATTTAATTATGTCGACGCTCGAGAATCATCCGCAATACTTCCGGAATATTATTAGAAAACAATTAAACCACAATAAAAAAAAATTCACAATTTCAAATTTGCAGTCAGATGTAATCAATATTACATGAATGAACTTACCATGGTAATTGATATTTCTTGGTAAAAAATTCCAATCCTAACAAACGTTTAAATGAAAAATGTTTCACCTACGCACTTTGCACCACTCACATTTCATGTCCAACTTGTTATTAGTAAAAATCAGAAAAGATTGTTTGGATATTTCACACAAAACTACACGTTAAAAAATAAAAACAGTGTATTTGAAAGGTGTACGTGGTGTTAAAGTCTTGAATAGTTTGAAAGAACCTCCACCAAGCGGAAGACCTATATAGATGCCCCCTCCTATTCAGGTGTTCATGAAGAATATGGGGTCCAAGTGGTCCGTCTGAGGATATTAACAAGCTCTAAGAGAAAGCTGGCAATGTCATTGGTTACTTTAGTCTTCAAAAACATCAAGTTTCTAGTAATCATACTTCCGTCTTCATCTAAACTACCAACAATTATTTCTTCAAGATTCTGAAATGCCCTCGAAACGACTGCTGGCGTCATAAAGCATAGCTCATTTACATTTTTCAGACAATCATCAGAGCAGCCGGCTCAGTATAAAAATGAAAATTAGAGCAATAATAATTTAATGGTATTTACGTTGAAGAAATCGGTGATTATGTTGGTGAATCAAGTTAAAGTTGGTCTGAAAATGAATTTAAGAGGCTTAGCAACACTCGTATAGTAATTTGATCGTATAATATGTAAAGGAAAAAGCCTAACAGGTCTGCAAGTTGAAAATAAAGATCATGCAGAAGGATAGTGTGTGTGACTATCTAGGCCTTGCTGGACACAATCTAGTGAGGTGGAGTACTTTTGTATGTTTCCCTTTCACTTAAAGGACTGAAATAAAAATTGATACAAACACATTTATAAACTGCAAACAGAACCATTAGGCTGGAACGTACCCTATTAGCACTCATGCATTTATTCCTATCCAAATACTCAACTGTAACTGCAATAGACCTCATACACAAGTCAGTGAATTTTATTTTTCCGTCTTTCTAGAATGTTTACTCAGTAATAATAGTAATAGTAGTCAGAAAAATTTTCCTCCGATGTAATGAGCTAAATATAATAATACTTGCTCTCATGTTATAGAGACGTGAATTTAAATATTATTATTAGTAACTTGTTCTGAAAATATGATATTTATTAATTCATCGAATGATAGAAACATGCCAGGTAGTTATGAGACACTGGCAGAATAATTTTTAAGGAGGTTGCAAAGTTTGGTAACAGTTTCAAAATGGCATAGTTAAGTTTGGTGATGTAAAATTCGTTGATATAAAGAATGAATTATTTATTTGGGTAGGCTAATCAACTAGTTAAATTGAGTTCCATTGAATTTCATTAGGGTTCTCATTTGAATAAGTTTTAATAATTTTTATCTGAGATTCAATCAATTTCTTTTTTGGAAAAAATTATATTTTAATTGATTCCACAACCAAACAATCTACATTCTATATACATAAATATAATAATTGTTTACTAATTATAAATGATTAATAATTAATTGCAAAAACTTGAATATTTGAATTAATTAAAATAATTAACTTCCTAGGAATTAATGACATTATTCAAACTCCAGTTACGTAAAATATAACAAAATCTAAAGTTTAAAAGATAAATAGTAACTATGACAATGATGTGTTAATAGAAAGTTTTAAACTCATTCAATTTATGTTTTTTTTTTATTATTTAACAAGTTTGGAATTTTTCCCATGACAATTAATTAATTAAAACGAACGAAAAGACAGTTTTGTCACAACAATAAACTTACATCGTAATTGCAATTAATAATGAAGTAATAATTCATTTGGTAATAAATTTAGTCAAACATAATATAAGCCATTATCAATAGTTTACATAATCGAATAAATACTCAAGTTTGATAATCGAATTGATTAACTATTGAAAAATTTCTTCGTCAACAATAAATGATGTATTGATCATTCAACCAATAGTCTATAAGCCATATATGTATATAACTATCTATTTCGTACAAACTTGACATTTTTCATTGCTTCTAAATCATATCTTGATATTAGAGTACACCATTAATTTCTTTTGTAGTAAATATGATTTAATTTTAACTTACAACGAGTATCTTTATCATAAATAATATCTTGTTTAACAGACTAATCAATTGTAGTCGATGAAACTGCACTTATTTCTCATTAAAAGATGATTTTTTATTACTTTTGAATTAATTGATTGAATTGAATTAAAGAGAAGTTAGTTGTTATTAATAATTGATAAAATTAATAACATCAGTTAATGAGTAAAATATTAACAGTCATAGGAAACGTTATTAAAATATAATTTTCGTCATGCCTGCGCGGAAAGTTCACTTTTCCATTGGAGAGGGGTTGAACTTTCCACTCAGGTATGACGAAAAATTATATTCAGCCCTAAGGAGGACAATTAGACAAGCTTAAACCACGTGTTTACCCCCCTCGCCTTCGGCTCGGGTTGTAATTTTACACGTGGTTTGAGCTAGTCTACTTTTCCTCCCTAGGTGTGAAATATACTATTTATTATCATCGAATCAATTTATTGTTAAGTAATAATTTTAAAATTAAATGAATTTGTTCATTAATATTATAATTAAATACATCTCTCTTTCTATGTAACACTTGCTATTCACAGATACTTGCATATATTTGCATTCTATAGTGTTCAAATAGATTTCATTGAGCAAATGCTACTGATGTATTTACAGGAGTTATACACCTATTCTCTGCAATTTATTATTATTATTTTATTTTTTTCAATTACATAACTAGAAATGAATTCAATTTAAACTTTCTCACAATATAATGATTTTTTTATTATAACAATCTTTTTTAAAACACCCACCAATATAAATCAATATTTTCATCGCAAAACAAGTTTACTAATTAATAATAAATTAGTTTTATTTGACTGAAGTACATGTTTTAAACAATAAAGGAGATTATTTTTACAGTATGCAAAGAAATAAAATTCAAGTTGTGTAATTCCATGTTGAATTATGCAATAATTACTTGAACAACTAAAATTAGAAATTTTTTAATCATTTATTACAATTATTTTTCACCATCTTAATGTTGATAATTGAAACAATTAAAAGCATAACAAACAAGCAATTATAAAAAATAATTCAACGAAACTCAAGTTTATTGACCACCGTGATGAATGGCAAACTTACATAAGACCTTATCCACTTGAAGGATACGGAATTTCAGTTAGCAGATTACAAGAAGAAGGCTGGTAAGATGCAGCATCTTAATTCAAGGAAAAAGGATGTGCAATAGTTAAGACGCCGTGTATCCGGTCATTCAATTCGATCATTCTATCTATTTCCCTCTAATGCATTGTTCCTATCCACATCTAAACCCAGTACCAACTACAAACTCAATATGTAAGACTTGAAGGAGGCGGTGAAGGATAAATGAGTGTCTAGGATTAAATCTGAAATAGAATGGCGTTTTTATCTCAATATAATACTCAATACTTCCTCTGTTGAATTTTTGCAACCGTCTATTGACTGGAATGGTCAACAATGAGTCAAATGAGTCATAGGTCGAATGGTGAGAAATTGGTTCTACGTGATCAGAAGCGAATCACGATTGCCGTTCACTTTTCTCAGTTCTCATAGCATTCGTCGTTGAGAATGGATATGGTACAATAAGCTACGTAGAAGGAGAAAAAAATAGAAAGAGAGAAAGACTTTAAGCAGCCAACTTGGAAAAGTTCGAAAACCGTGTCACGATTTCTTGCGTCGTTCTGCCGCTTGGCTTGCGTTGATTAACTTGATAATCCTACGATTGAGTGTTTTATATACAAAAAAAGGCCAGAAAAAATTGAAAAGAAGCTTCAATCAATTGGAACTTTCTGATTATCATATGTGATGAATGGTGGATAAAAGAGTAATTAAATAGTTGATGTTGGATATAAGGGAACTCTGGACAATCAGCCATTGTATCCTAGTATATTCTCTTTTTAGAATGGTCTAGGAGAAAGCGACCCGCCCATCAAGTAAAATGCATTCCATCTTTTATATAAAAAAAGAAGAGAAGTTTGAAGATTAGGTTCTTCTAGCTTGGTAATTACTGTAATACTATTAAAGATGTTATTACGACAAGGAGATGGTTTTACACAGATGTTACGGTGACAATGTTAAGTTTTCTTTAGCTTATTGCTAATTTACTTGGAGATGCTCTCCTGACAAAGCTTCTATTTAGTTAAATACTCTGTTTTAAAATACACCTTTCTGCCACTTTATGCTAACCATCTGGGTACTCTCTAGTCAACAATTAGTATGTGTTTAAATTACTTGGAGTCTTAGAAACACCTACACCACGAGTTTGTCACCACGAAGATCGCTTTTTAAACCACTGATGAACATTGAACTTGACCGGAAGTGGGTCATGACAATAATTCTTTTCCAAGCAATACCAACTATGGTATTTCATGCGAAACCAATGGCTTAATTTTCTCTCTCTCTCTATCTTATTTTCTTCCCCTCTCATGCTTTTATTAGATGTGGAATAAATTCATTTGTCATCATTATACGAAAGTATATCTAGAGTGTGTATGACGCACTCACTTGAATACCATTTATTCTAATTCAATCTTATAAGTGGAGAGAGCAAACTTACTTTCACTCAACACCGCAGTCACGGTGGGCCACTCAACGTTCATTGCCACCGTTTTTCTAAATTCTTGAGGAACCAACCCAATCATTGAAGTGAGAAGGAGACCTTTGATCTCCGGAGCTTAAAGTGATACATACTCAATTCGTGATGATCGTGATGATGATGCTGGTGATGATGAAAAGGAAAAAAGACTGGTTTTAAGACCTAACGTAGGATGCCCAAAGCCTGCAAACTTGACCTACATACCACAGCATGGTTGACCTACTATACTCACTTTAGAATACTATACACCTTGCGTACACTTTAACTGCTTACCACCCACCCAATTAATTCTTGTCACGAACGCGGAACACAGTTCATACACTTACACCTTGGAAAATTCACACATACTAATCACTATGTAAGCCATTTTTTTAATCAACATTTAATATGTTAGGTTAATATTTACATGATAATTTTTAAATCAATTTTTGCTATTTTTTGTTGCTAATTGTTTAGCATCAAAAGAGTAAATGAAGAAAAAAATATTGTTGAATCAAGAAGAAAATTTTAATCATTGATTCTTTTTTTAAGATACTTATATTTATTATT